TCTTTAAATTTTTTGTTTACCTAGAAACCTATGCGTGCGTATCCTGATTTTTCATCATTTCCCAAGTAATACAAATTAAAAGTTCTTTTCTCATTTTTGCCCTGTCCTTTAAATCTTATCTCTTCCAGTGCAACTATGTCAAATTTATATTTTTCTAATTCTTGAGCCACTTCCATCATTTTACCCGGTTGTGGCAAGGTCCCTACGTTCCATGAATCCAATTGCATTTCCAATTTCCTTAATCTTTGTTCATAATCATAATCATTGTCCATATTTCGTTCCCAAGGTCCATTACCATTTCAGAAACTTTACACTAATTTCAGTAATACTTTCGATATTTGTGGTAAGTTCCGGTGTGCCTGGTGGCAGCCATTTGAGGGCATAATTATTTATAATGGTGTGTGAATGACGTGGTTTCGAAGTTGGGAGACAGTGGGGTCCTTATTTATGCCGACGATATAAAAATTTTTAAAAGGATTTCTTCATTAGCTGATTCCCACGTACTTCAGAATGACTTAAAACTTCTATGAATGATGCTCCTTCAACATTTTAAAGTTAAACGTAAGCAAATGTGTTTTAATGAGCTACCGAAGGTGTCCTTTTATGACAAATTATTCTTTTAATGGGAATAGTCTGAGAAGGGTTTTTGCTATTAAGGACCTGGGAGTTTACTTCGACTGCACATTGTCGTTTTTGGACCATTACAATTATATTATGAGCAAGGCAAGTTTGTTGGATATCATTCTCTCACAGGATCTCACATGCTTTCAATATTGCGAAAAATTCCGAATTGAGTTTAGTTGCGTTTTTTCTTAACTAAGCCATAGAATTTTTTTATATTATACTCATTTTTAGTATACATATTGCATATTATGTCTACAAAGTTTAAAACTAAATGAGATAGAATTAGGCGAATTATAACTAAATTTATAAAAATGAAATAAAGCATAAAAATGAAATAAAGCCCATATCCACTTTTTTATTTTAAAAATTTTTCAAGCCCAAAATGTTTACGGATATAGGGCATAAAAGCTAAAAAAGGTTAAAAAAATTCTAGGATTCACGTACATATATGAAAATTCAATAATTTGAAACAAATTTCACATAAATAAATACAATAAAACAAGATTCAAAAGTATTTTTTATTGAAAATGTTGTTATTTTCCCGAGTTATTAAAATTTTTTTAAATTCTTTAAAAGCATTTTCACACCAGATGAGAAATTATATTTTATTAAAGTAAAATAAGTTTAAGAAAATAACACCCATTAATAATTGAATCGTTTAACTTTTGAAAATTGTAATTGTATGTATTGAAAATTTTAATATTTAATGTATTTTGCCTTTTTTTTTTAATCGAACATTTTTTTTTATCACAAAAATAAAGTTAGTTAAAAAAATTAAAAATTTTTTGTACGCACACATATCTTAACATTTTCACGCACGACTAAGCAAATTTTAATTCTTCAGGGGACACATGCATATATCAGTAAACAGGTTGATATTAAAAATTATATGGATATGGATCAATTTAGTATAGAAATATTAATTTTCTAAACGCGATTTACGTATTAGGGCCATCGATGTGCATTAACTTGTCATTGGAAATTTTTTTTCGAAAAAAATTTTAAGCATTTTGATTCACACGACATCGATTTGGTAAATACATTTAAATTTGGTAAAAATTACGGATATGGTTTCAAAGTTGCAATTCAGTAACCAAAAGAAATAGAGAAAAACGGGTTAAATATTACTAAAGGTTGTCTCCAAAACCTAAAAAGGTATTGCTTAATTCCAAAAATCCCAAAGTGTCGTATGAATCACATCAGCCTTGGACCAGCGAAATAGGGCATATTTTTCATATACATACGTTAAATCGAAACTAACTTAAATTGAAAATAAAGTGTATTAGTTCTTATACATATACTTCTATTTTATGCGTAAGATACGCTTATAAATTAAAATACTTTCATGAAATTAAATTATTAGCACAAAATTTAAGTAAAATTAATAAAGTCAATTCAAATTGTTATTTCGGTAATTAATCGATTCAAGTTTTAAAATTTTATTCTTGATTTAAATATTGCGGACAATAATATTGCACAATTGAGAAATGATTAATTTGAATATTTTAAGAATTCGTGTTAAGTAAGTTAAACTTAATAATATTGTTCGTTTGTATAACGAACAAATATAATTTGGAAAAGATTAAAGTATATATCATAACATAGCAAAATTACAAGAGCAGCCAAAAACTTAAAAAATTTATTTTAAAAAATCAACTCTTTAATAGCTTTAGAGGGCCTTTTATCATCCCGCAGATTGATTTTAATCTTAAATCAAAAATAGCAGATACAAAAAATTTTTCTCTAATTATAAAGCATATTTACTATTTGTCAATACAAAGTCAACACCATATATGTATATGTATGTATGTACATAAATGTGTAATGATTTTCTCAATTTAGTTTTTTAAATTTTCAATAATTAGTTACATTGCGGGTATTGAAAAGACCCTCCACTAAGAGCAAACAATAAAAGTTACAATATTTTATTGTTTAAGTCTTATATGCACACACGCACCCTTAATCATTAAATATATAAAAAGAATACCATCTCACTTTCGTTATTAGTAGTTTTTGTGATCTTTTTCATATTTATTGTTTAAATACAATATATAAAATGCATCTTCACTTTTTTCCCATATTCTGGGAGAATTGTTATATTACAATTAAACGAAAATATAAAAATAACTTCAAACGGATCTGCACATAACTTTTTAAAATAGGCGCTTGATTACCGCATAATTTGGTATAATATTATTTAGGTCTTTTCTACAATTTTAATAATAATAATATTATATCCTTTCAGAAACTGTTTTTTCTTTATCGAGAGACGGGAAAAATATCGACGATATTATAATGCATAACATGCTGTGGAAGAGAATTGAATTGATATATTGGAGTTTCAGTTTATTATGGCGCAGGCGTGTATGACCTGTCAGCGTTAAATGTTGGTGGTCATTCATTGATATTATATGCGGATTTGAGTCTTTTAAAAAAATATTGTTTGATTCAAAATGAAAATAACGCGTATCGGCATTTAACAAACTATAGGTGTATACTATGTAATAACTGCAACTATACCCCTATAAATGCGTGGTTCCAAGTATGCAATATATCAATGATAAAATAAAAAATTTCGCTAAAAAAAGGATATTCTATAAAAAAAATTAACAAAATCATAATCTTTTATCCTTTTTTTGTTTTACTGCTGTATGATCGTGTGAGAAGATACACAGTGGGATAAAGCATTCCAGCTAAGAATTTTCTTTTGATTTCTGTTACAGTAATTTATAATTTAAAATTTTTGATTTTCTCTTTCCTTTGGTTCTTTACAATTTGAAAGTGTGAATATAAGAGGACCAAAGATAATTTTATTGCTTAATCTTTTTAATAAAAAAGAAGTCGAATGAGAGACGCACAATATTAGTTTTTAATTTTCTTAAAAAGTCTTTTAGTTCAATTAGATTTGGTTAAATGGCTCTAACAAAGAAAAGACTCTCAAGCGGCATACTTGTAATAGTTAAATTAGTAATTTTATAACACTCGAAAAGTTAACTACGGCTGATTCTGTCTGATCATTATATAACTGAAAGCATTTCGTGAAGAAAATCCTTTTTAATGAAGAAATACATTTAAAATTTTTGAGAAATCATTTACAAATGGTGTCAAATATTAAATATTACAAATATCTGACATAATAAACCTCTATAAAACGATAAATAAATATCGACATAAAAATAGGCCTATAATTAAATAAGTTTTTATTATATTTTATAGAGATTAATTAATAACTTACTTATATATCGTATCTTTATTGCAATTGAATGCACTAATATTGTTATTATTCTTATGGAAAAACCAGCTTTTTCCAACATTTTTGAATTAAATTTTATTTATTAAAATAAAAATATGCAAAAATAAATTAACAACTTGTTTTTATGACAATAAAATAGCACTTTCTTTGAACGCTTAACATATACTTATTTGCTAACACCAAAAAATTAATTTAAGATGCTTTTCCAAAATAGTAATGTGGTTTTATATATTTACAACGTTGCCTACTTCATTTGCGCAATTTCTGTAATTTATGTAATGTGCATATAGTTTAACAGCTTCTAAATTTATTTTATACTTTTTATGAGATCTTTTTATGTAGTATTAAAATAATTTGCTTCTATAATGATAACGCAACACTTAGAAATTACTAATTACCAAGCATATCACCCGTTTCCTAACGTTCCTGGAAACCATCTCATGAATAACATTACTGAGGTTTAAGTTCAGCTGTTCTTTCTCATAGACTGCAAATGGGATATTTGAAATCGAAAATAATTTCTAGCACTCGCCATTTGTTGTTATATAAAAAAATAGACACGACGAACTTTTAAAACAAGAAGAGGATGGGGAGGATACTAAGCATCCTAAATATTTCTATTTCTAATGTGTGTTAATTAGTCAATATCAAACTGATTTTAATAATTTGTAATTAATATGAAAATAAGATTTAAATATTTGTTTAGCAAGAAAATACAGAATTCTTAACTTTGAAATTGTTTTTAGAAACATTTTGATTTCGACATTTGTATAATTATTCATACCAAATAAAAATCAAATATTAAGTAATTTAAGCCACATTTTATATAATGATTATCGCCGTCTAGTCTATTTTAAATGATTATATATTCCATTCCAAGAAAATTTGGTGGTCAAATACTCAAATATATCCAAAGTTCATACTACAAATACCAAATTTGAGTCACGGTCGACAAATAATTACAAAATATATTGAATTCAACTTATAAGACCAATTTTTTGAAAAATAATAAAGATAACCTTTAATTTAGTTTTATTTTATTGATAATTTAATCTTGCCATTATCGGTTTAAATAGTTAGTATAAAAAGTAAATATTAAATTAATAAATTTTTAGTAACGAAACGAATATTGTTTAAACAACAATAAAAAAACGACGTTTTTTACAAAACGAAAAATTTATAATCTTAAGTGTATAATTCAAAAATTGAAATAAAAGGTTTTAATAATGAAGTTCGCCATTGTCTTGACTATTGCAATTTGTGCAATAATAAATGTAAGTACGACACAACATTTCAGAATCACAGTTTTAGAAATTTTATAGTGAATTCAAGTTATGTATATTATATGTACTTACTTTAAGGTTAATCCATCGCCAATTCATCCAGATCATTTTTCTATACTACCAGCTTCATATCAAATTGAATACATAGCGCAAAATGGAATTGTCCAAAAGTTAATTGAAATTATTCAAAATGTTATAAAAAAAACTCAAGCAATTCTTCAGGATATTTTGTCTAAACTTGAAGATATAATTCAATCTATTGGTGATAAAATTCAAAAGATAATTGATGAATCTAAAGAAATTATTGATGGAATTGCTAATGGTTTAATCAATAAATTAGAAGAAATCGCTAAAAAGGATGAACTATCAAGACTATGTGTTGAAAAAAGCCGTCCCGATTTGGATATTGCTATTGCTAAACACGGATTATCAATCGAAGAATGTCGGGAAAATGCTGTCAAACAAATACAAAATATACGATCCGAAATCGATGTATATATTGAAGGTATTCGTAGTAATATCGATGCTTTAGAAGATATTGTCAGTGATTGTTTAGAGTCCACTAGCACACCATTAAAATTAATTCAGTGTATTATTAAAAGAACCGATGATATCAGAGCTCAACTCACAGACTTAATTGTTAACGCTAAAAAAGCAATTGCCACTGGACCAAATCGATCTATTCAAATAATTAGAGAAGCTCATAGTTGTGTTAGAAGTGCGAATGTCGAGTTCCAAAAAGCTGCTGGTGAAATAATTTCCAACGTTCTACATTGTATCAAAAATGGATTTCCAGAACCTGAACCCGAACCTGAGCCAGAACCTAAGCCACAACCAGAACCTAAGCCCGAACCTGAACCACAACCAGAACCTGAACTCGAATTAAAACTACAACGAAAATAAATTCAGGAGCGTAAGAATTGAAGAATATTTTATAACACATGATATAATAAATTTAAACCTACTTCACACATACATAATTGTACCAAGTGTAAGATAAAATTTCGTGTCAACAAATAATTATCCAAAAACATTTTCAATTATGGAAATTCACATTGGTTTAATTTTGCCTCTTTTTTTTTAACTTTTTTTAATATCTTTTTTACTAGATTATTGAATAAAATTTACTTAAAATACTAATGTGTCTCCTTTTTAATAATCAAAATTTAAAATAAAAATTACCACACGCAAGTAATCTCTCAAGTCATTTGATACAATTTTTCAGTTGAGTTGTTTTAGTCATATTTTTAAAGTAAATGAAGTTACTGATCTTGATCTTCGAATTTACAAAAAGCAAAAAAAAAATTTATGATCCTGCACTCAAATACTTGTTAAAGGTATAATTAAAACCAACGTCGACGAAAATTAATTCAGTGAATTAGTTGAAGATGTGATTTGCAAGTCAAGGGTGAAATTTTGAATAAATTTTTATGTAAAATAAAAGATGAAGAAAGAGACGTGTGAGAATTGCTAAACGTAAAATTATGAAGTTTTGTTATAATAATAAACATTATGTACATATAATACGCATATTCAAAAATTATAATAAAAATTAGCGATAAATCAGTAATGAAAAAAAACTCCGTCTCACGTTTTTATTTTGTATTATTAAAATTTTTTCAGTTTTTAAAAATTTCAAAATGAATAATTAAATAATTACAAAAACTTTTCAATGTATTCTTTTTTAAAGAGAGAAAAAAAATATGATAGTAGTCAAACTGTTGGCTTGTTCCAACTTTATTGTAATCTTCTTTCCAGAAACTAATATTAAAAATAAGTGTAAGTCAAAGAATCACAAAATGCAACATCTTAAAATTACCTCTGATTTAAATTTCGACAATCCTAATCAGCGATATAATATTTATTGCATAAAAAACTTCTTTTTAAATATTAAATGCGCTATATAAGCACATAAAAATCTAGGCACGCTTGTTGAACCTAAATTTCACAAAAAACAGGTGCAAAATCTGTTGATACAAATAATATGCATACTTTGGTATATGTATCTATTTAACTTGTTACGTATATTTGTTTTATGTTTCGATTTACCCTATGTACACAAAATATTACAATAGAATTTAAGGCATAATGTGTACATATGTATGTATATAAATAGTTCTTTAAAACTCACAACAGTAATAAACTTTTTATTTGATATGAATGCCACACGACTGTTATAGTTTTTTTTATTTGAAGGATATATATTTCGACATAATTTTGATAACTAAAAGAAATACAAAATTATCTTTTTATATTAGACAATTTCGAAAATATAATATGAATGCTTGATGTATATTGTTCAAATACATACAGTAAAACTCGGATAATTTGCATAGTGTTAATTTGACATATTTTCGATATTTGCTTCAAACTTTTTATGCTGTGAAGTATAACTACGTACATTGATATAATGCTTAGTTTAAGCTCCGATTTATATACCGCGTTTCTGGTATTTATCACCAAATTTTTTAAGCCGCAATTCTATTACATATTTCTGATAAAATTATACAAAATAATTGCGATACCAATAACTGCATTTAATACCTTTGAATAGCAAAGAAAACACTTATAAAATCTAAGAAGGACTATGCAGTGGTCATACCGTTGAAACGTCAACTTCATATTTGTTTCATTTGCTAATGTAGTCTTTTTCGTATAATTACAAATTCTTCTTTGTTTGAGAGCATTTTTATCAGTTTTTGGTAGCAGATATTCGCAGAAATTGTTTTTTTTTTCTCCTGCTTTAACATATAAACTTCTCCATCAAACTCTGTTATTCGAAAATACTCTTGTTTGTACCCATGTTTTGCCACATACTGTAATTTTTTCATCTTTAACACTATTCTTCGCCATGTTTCTCGAGGTCTTCTCACCCTACCCTTCCCCTTTGGACACCATTCGAATGCCTGCAGAGTACGGCCCAAACAACGCAATTTTTTGTACTATATGTTTTCTACTATATGTTTCTTCGACACTTATTGATAAACACCTGGACTTTATAAATTTGTTTTCAGATTTGTGTTTCAGGTTTCACTACCAATTGACTTAAGGCAAAAGTTATTTTAATATTTTTGCCTCTGCCCATGTGAGGCAACCTCTAAATTCCCCTCATTCTTCTAAACGCTTTTCTAGCCAATAGTTTTGTGCACTTCAGCACCTCCATAAAAATATGTTTATATTATTAAAAATATAATTTATATGCTTTTTATTTTGAAAATGAAGAGTTGTTAACAATTGGTCCTTTTGATTAAGCAATTTTTTCTGTTACTACTGTAGTTGAAATTTCCGTCCACCTATGTATTTTACTTCAATAAATGATGAACAGAAATTTTCTCAAGTATTGTGGTTCTGTTCATTATTTATCTTAGGTCTTCTTCTTCTGTTTCGTTGTGCATTTTTTCTTGAATAAATCTTCTTCTTCTTCAATAAACCTTCTTTTTCATCAAAAAAACTGACTTTTAAAGATTACTAAGATGTATAAATATAAATTATGTAAAGTCTTTTTTGCATAACTATTTTTCAACTTAAATTGACATTAATTATTAAATTATTGTTATTAATGTATATATTTAGATCTATTTATGTTATATTTATATGTATATCGTTTCTAGAAACCAGATAAACTATCAATCTGTTGGATACACATGGTATATGTATGTACATATGTATAGGTACAGACCACTTTATATCTAAAAATCTTAGAAAAGAAAATTTTAGCATTAATTTTTGAACTATTAACTTGTAAAAAGAAATTATATGCATTAAATGCAGGTTTGCGAGTGCTTACGAGTATTATGTGGCTTATTCTGGTCATAAAGGGTCAGTTATAAAATCTCTTGGAATGATGCAACAGAAAGTAATTGACATAAACCTAAATAAGAGAAAGTGTACTGGAAAAGGCCATATTCTTCAAAGGTCAGCAAATAAGTAATATACCGCGATCTTGAAACACACAAGTTTTATGTTTAATTATAACAATTAATGATGAAACTTAAAATAAATTTTTCTTAACAATCATTTTTATTATCAAACATGAAACTATAAAATTATACTTATTAAATATTTAATATTAAAATTAAAATTGAAATAAATACATTGTACAGGTTAATGGAAATTTTGGAAAATGAAATATTTTGGAACAAGCCGTAATTAATTTTTTTTATGTATAAAACACTTGAATTTTACTACGTAATTCGATTTCCTTACGGTATCCAATGAGAGATATCACAATTGAATATTGCACAAAATCGTTATGATTTTAGTTAATTTATGCGCAACAAAAAAAATTAGAAAATTGTGAAGCTTTACAATAAAAGTTAAATTACGTTATCTGCTTGAACTTCATTCAAAATTTAAAATATTTCATTGTTTTTGAAGTTTCAATTTTCAAGATTTCAATCTCTATTATTTAAAATTATAATGATATCTCAATTAAATTATACGATAATCAAATGTTTATAAAATCAACGATTCTTATTATTACTGCCTTAATGAATGAGCTTATTTTCTTATAATTTAAATATGTATATATGTATGTATGTATCATATCTTTATATAAAAGCAAATCCACTATTTCGAACACATTGAGTTTTAACTTAACCTTGCTTTAAGAAATATCAACTAAGCATATTGATAGAAAATGAAAATCACTTCAAGTATATTAGTCTTATGTTTTGCAGTTCTTACAGTAAGTTGATATATACAATTTAGAACGAAACTTTTTTTAACTCTTTTTGCGCCATATTTTCCATTTCAGGTTCAGTGTATGACAGAAAAAGAATGTGGACAAATGTTTCAGTACGATTTACAAATAATTGAATATGAATACATGTTGGAAGCTAATGATTGCCCCATTGACAGTTTTATCAGCAAGAAATGCATTGAAAGTGCAGTAAATTCAAAAACAACAAAAATTAAAAAACTGGAAAATAAATTTGAGGAATGTGTTCGAAATGTTATTTAAATTATTTTGAGTGCAAAATACATAAATAATTCATATTATTCAACAACTCTCAGTTTTGTCTTTAAAAGTCAAGGTTTAACTTCAACTAATAAACATTTTGTTGTTTTCATCTTCAATCACATGAGTCCCGGCCTTAGAGGCTGACAAAATTTAGTATTACTCCTTAATACCAGTAAAGTTACCTTTGCAAATTATTTCCTTTCCTTTAGTGTTCTTATATCATATACCAGGCGAATCAAATTCATATTGCAAGTTAATATTGCATGAAAGAACCAAAACAATCATCATTTAAACGCACAAGATGCGGCTATCAGATTGCCTAGCGAAATAGTCACTATTTGATGACGGTGAAAAAGGGTAGAAGAGAATAAGTAAGGGTAGAGTTTATTACTACGGGAGACTCTAAAAAATATTAGATTAAGTTTTACGGAAAAACAAAAACAGAAAAATAGTAAACACAAAAAAAGAGTAGAGCCACAGTAACAGTGTTATATAATCCATAGTAAGCATGGAACATCCTTACCAATTCCAAAATAAAAATAACTAGTGTTAGAACTGAAGACACACAACATTCTAGTGAAAGAGAAATCTCCTCTGAACAGATGCGATATTAGAAATATCAACAGCGTCCAAACCTGACACGCGTTTTCCAAAATGGACCTAACATATGAAATTTTTTTTTTTTTTTTGCCGAAGAGAGACATGGGAAAAGGAATTTCTCCCCCACAGGGTGGAGTCTGCCCCTAATGGCAGACGTTGGTAGTACACAGAAGGTGACGCGCCGAACGAAAAGGACCTTAGATACCCTCCGCGACAACCTGTCAGTAATCCCGTTACTCTTGTGGCCGCTGTGCCCCGGCACCCAAATGAGTGTTACTCTGTTTGTTAATACCAACTCCACAAAGACAAACAAGTAGCTCCAAACCAGCTTGGATGGGACCTGAGCCGATTGGAGCGCCAATAGTACCGCTCTGAAATCTAAGATTACACAGTTGGTGCGATTTTTCTATGTTTACTCTCGGACATATTTCTATTGTGCGTATTTCAGCTTGAAATACGAGCAAAATGAATCCAAACTAGCGTTTATACGTGTGTCCGGCTGGACTCCATACACATCCGAACCCAACTCCGTTTTGGACCCATCAGTGTACCAAACACTAGAACTAGTCCCAAAACC